TGATAATAATAATAATAAAAGAAGTTTGAAAAACCTTTTTGAAGCTATGTAGCAAACTTCTTTTTAAATTCTAGAAATTTCCCTCTGTAGTATTACGGAGTTTACAAAAAAATCACTTGGAATTATTTTTTGTGATTTGGTTCTTTAAAATAAGAAATATGCCTTGTTTCATTTTGAAATCCAAAAAAAGATTTATATTACATTTTTATATTAAAGTATGTTTTAACTAATTGAAATTTTTACAGTTTATTTCTTATTCATAAATTTTGTTATGATGAAAAGCTTGTTGCATGAATAAAAAAATTTTCTCATTAAGTGCGTTTAGGGTAAAGTAGGAAAGTCAATATTTACACAACAGTTGTATTATATTCAGCTAATACATCAAAATTTTAACCCGCTTTAGTTTGTCAATTTTTGTTTATGCGAAAATGGAATAAAATGAGTCTTAAACATTTATTTTTACATATACCCCTGACTAAATGAAAGAAAAAAAAATTACTTTTTAATGCAATATCGCCATTCTGGAGTCCAGTAAAATATAGAAAAAAAATTAATCCCAAAGATGAAAATGGAAAAAAAAATTCTTAGATTTTGGAGGACTTTTATACAGAAGTACAGAAGAATTTTTTTTTCGTCGAACTGTACATATATATTACTATGAACGGTCAGGTGCACCTAAATAATACCCTATACGCGAGCTTACGCAGCGAGAGGCAATAATACAGTCATGCCGAACACCGACAGTCTTTCACGAGCGTCCGCGGGGAACGTACGTTTTACGTTACTTTTTGTAAATGTGCGTTACATGATTAAACGAGTCAAACCGGACACAACTTACAATTTGTAAACTAACAGTGCAGGCGACTCTGATTATCCGGGCCGTATAAGCCGTGAATTTACAGCAGCCAACACCGTGGCAGCTTTTTACAGAGCCGTGCTCTGTTGTTATTATTTTCCATCATTACGCCTCAGCAATAGCAAAATGAACATCAACCGGGGCTTCCTTAACGTCATGATCCTCAGTTGGGGATTCATGCTGGTGTTCACTGCTTTCCAAACGATGGGCAACATACAAGTACGTACACACACAACAGATATCTGACGTGATGCTCTTGTTACGATTATACACGCGTCTGTCATATGGACACTTTTTACCAAAGTTTATCAGAGATTGGGATAGAGAGAGAGAGAGAGAGAGAAATAAACTAGAAGCTATTGAAGTAAAAGAAATAGCGCAATGAAAATATCAGGCATTAGATACAGATGTAATATTTTGAACGAAAGTGATTAGTTTTGGAGCGCAGCAACATATACTCATGGCTCTTGTGTCATGTGTGGTCAGCGAGGTTAGGTAGCATTGTTTTGTTTGTGTTTTCATGTTTTGGCAGAGAGATTGCTGTTTTTTTTTTCTTACTTAGATTCTGTTACTTTTTATCTTTCTATGGTCGTATTAGTAATGCTGTCGTTAACCAATGTGTTGAACAATATAATGCAGTTATTGAGGCTGTGAAGTAATGAGGCAATGGGTCTTGTTTGCGTTATCACAGTTTGATTTGCCAATTCATATTATACATAGCTGATGTGTGATAATAAGTGACGTGTATTATCTTCTTTGCGCTGATTTAAAGTCAGAGTTATACATGCCGAAATATGCAATTGCAAATTATGCGTTTTGACAAAATTTTTAGTTAATAATATTGCCATTCTTTTTTCTGTTATTATTATAATGTTAATCTTATAACTATTCAAACAAGTAAATAAATAAGTTCAAAGAAACAAAATTCGATGGAAACTAGGTTTTGAGGCCATATAAATACAAGTAAAAGACTGTATCGCATAAAAATTACGGCGTGTAAAATAAAATTTTTATTGAAACATTTAAATGGAAATAAAATATTGTGGAACTTAACGTTTTAATGTGGTACATAATTTATGAGTATTTGAAAAAATTATAAATAATTTCATGCTAAAATATTCAGGGGTTATGCACACAATGGCAATAATTTATGGTTGTTGAGATTTATTAATAATATTTATGCATAGTAAAATTAATATTAAAACCAGATTTTTTTACACATGTATGACTAAATCTCGGAATCAGGGGGATAAGAATTATTTAGATGAAGATTATTTATAAACGACTAGGATAACGAGTTGGAGCGAAAAAAAAGGATGATTGCAATGCTTAACATTGGTTCTCATGATTTACAAGTAACAGTATGTCTTTAAATACATGTAGCACCTTTGAATCAATTCATTATAAATAATATAAGAACCAAGAAAAAAGAGAATATCTAAAAAAAAATTTTTTCGACATGTTGAATTAAAACATAATTACGCTAAAAACACAAAAATACGATAATATGTATTTTACAGTTGCTTTGAAAAAAATTTTTCGTGAAAGATGGAAACGCTTTTAATAAAATTTTAGAATTTTAGAATTTTAGAATTTTAGAATTAAAAGAATTAAGAATTTTCCAGATACACCTTATTTACCTACACATACATCTTTTAGCTTTTCCAGATATCTTATTAATATCGTTTGAAATCAGCTTAGTACTGAGCGGGAGAGCAGCAGTACCCAGAATTTTTCCTTCCATTCTGCTGCTGTACGTAAGTATTTATATAGATAGAAAGAGAGTAAGAGAGGTTTGTGCACATATGAGCGATTCCGTATCAACAGTTCGGTCAGGAGTTCTATTTGATATGATTATTGTAGAGTCTACTAGGATAACACAAAGGATATTTTACACTGTGACTAAAAAATCGGTGAAAAAAAATCATAA